GACGACCGTGGCACTCACGATCTTCATTCCCTTTAATAGCTTTGCCCAGGTACTAATGCAGCCTTCTACATAATGATTTTGGTAGCAACTGCCAAATTCAGAGTGCAATTCTTAAGTTCATTTGGCCGACGCTCGCCATCTGCGTCGTCTCGGATTCAATTGCAGAAGCACACAACTTTGCTAGTAATCAAAACCTACACTGGTCAGATTGCAATTCCTCATAAGACAATAGAATATATTACATAATGACGACGCGCGGCCAATGATAACTTTATAATAAAATGTCATGAAATACAATGTTTTTTGTTTCAGTACTTTTGATATCCTGTGACATGCAAACCATAATCTTATCTGCACGCGTGCACCTTGACAGTGCAACATATAACTGGCCATGTGAGAAGACTGGGCTCGGTAGGAAAACTACTACAACCCCAACGCTTTGCCCCTGGGATTTGTTCACCTCATGCAAAAAGCTGGCGCAATTGGATATTGGAATCTATAGAATGGTAAAGGACATGTTGAACCACCTGTGTGGTGTAAGTTTATTCTGGGCAGCGTAATCAAACTCCCCACGCGGTTCCCAGTGATTATGCGGCACGATAAAATTCTCCTGCCTACGTGTGTCACAACCATCCGTGTCCCGTTGCACAATCCTTGTTTCATGTTCAAATTGCGTAATAGAATAATTGGCATTCCGGCTTTTAAGCATAAGGAATGCGCAGGGAAATTTGGCACTGCGAACGTGTTTAGCATTTCAGGTGTCAATGGTTCACCCGTGGTTGAATCGTCATTGGCGTCGATAGAATTTGAGTAAAAGGCCTCTCCGTCCAGACTGTCCAAGATATCCTCATTGATTTGTCCAACGTACTTGTTCAGCGGTGTGATGATACAACGGTCTGCATAATAACTCGCCAGGTCGCTCCATTGGCTTCGAGAAATCATGTCATTTGCTTTGTCATACAGCTCAAGGGCTATATCCTCATCGAATGTTAATGCCGAAGGGATAACTTTATGAGCAATATGCTCGAGTTGGATATCGGCTTCGACTTCCTCTTGCAGATCACCTGATCCTACTTTCAGCAACCAGTTAGCGTATTCTGTATTTCGATTTGCAACCTCAGGTGTCACATTTGCCACCGCTAGTCGAACGTTCGTCGTCAATTTATGGCGTCGGAGTGTTTGCCACAGATAAGAACAGCGTAATGAAGCTTCGGCCTGTTGTGCGATGGAACCTCGTGGAATAACCGGCAGGGTCTGTCGAAAATCGCCAGAAAAGAAAACCATGACACCCCCAAACGGTACGTCTCGACCTCGCAACTCGCGCAGCGCACGGTCCACACAGTGGATATCATTTTTGTTTTGCATCGATACTTCGTCCCAAACAATTAGTTGTATACATTTCAGCCTATTACTCAATTCGTCTTTTCCCGAGAGTTTACATCGAGAGTCATCATCAGCATTAATAGGGATTTTGAAAGCGCTATGCGCTGTTGTACCTTTCAAAAGTATTAGGGCCGCGATGCCAGATGACGCAACTGCCGCGACTTGGTGTTCCAGAGCGTTGCAGTAGTGCAGAATTGCATTTAGCAGGAATGTCTTTCCGGTACCTCCGGGTCCGTCTAGAAAATGTAAACCGCCGTCTCCTGCAACGATTCCATCTCTTATGTCGTGAAACACAGCCAGCTGTTCGTTGTTCATCAAATTTAACGACTTCTCCAGAATCATCATGCTTTCTTCACTCGTGATGTCATTCTCTTCGTCTAGTGAAATCAAAGCTGCATAGGATCTCAGTATTTGTGTGTCTGGCTGCGGGAGTCCGGCTCCGGTCAGCGTCAGATTTACTTCCTCGAGTGCAACGGCCATTCTGCAGAGACCCAATGTGGTGACCATTTCCGACGTTGGAATTTCGTCAGGATTATATTGCATCATAGCGTACTTGCAATCGTCACATAAATAGATGGCGAATTGATTCCATATTCGCAAAGGATCAGAAGGTGGCCCGAACTTGAGGATAATTGCGAACATTGCTCGTAATTGATATGCACTATGTACTCTGGCGCACTCATCCATAGCGGCGATGTAGTGGTCGTCGTTAAGGAGAAGGCCGCGTGCGACTGCCGCCGCATTGAATGTAGGGTGTACGACACCCTCGAACGTCTTCAAATCGTCAAATGAGGTTGGCCCCTTGACATTCATAAGGAGGAGACGCATAAAGTATCTCTCGCCTTGAGTTAGGCTGGCGTAGAACACCCTTGGGATCGTCTTTGAAGCTTGAACCCGGGGTTTCCAACGTTTGGCGTCTTTATTCCACGTGAAGTAATAGACTACTTCAGGGTACGTCAGAGATCGGATTGTCTCTGTATCGTCCTTGATTTTGACGTTGGCTTTACAAAGCGCAAAAAATTCGGTCAATGTCGTTCTAGCAGCTTTACCAGACTCGATCTGGTTTTTTAAAGACCATTTGTTTTTGAAATATACAGTGTTTTCTCGCGGCATGTGAACTGTCAGCTTTTGAACGGCTGGAAACCGTGAAGACATCCAAAATTCAAATAGTCTCTAACACGCTGCAGGGTGACATCAATGGTCTCAGTTTTGTCCGTTCAAATGTGATGTTTTAAACGTACCTTCAGTTCCTGTGAGCGTTCGTTCATCAACGTAAGTGTCAATTTCATTTTTGG